ACGAGTTTCTGTTTAATACTGGAACAGTGGACCAGCCCATTATTTATCTTGTACATCATGGAGAGCCTGGATTGTCGTCGTCGTTTCTCCAATGGTGACCAGCCTAGTGTTTCTAGCATGCTGCCAACACTAGAGGTATTCCTGTAGCGGTTTAGGACAAAACGTGCTGCTCGTCGCTGGACCGTCTCCAACCTGTCTTGTAGACGCCCTATGCCCCAGGCGGAGTAAAAGGAATAAGTACGTAAGATAAATCTTGAGCGGTGGAGGGTCCTGGTGAGTATTTTGGAGTATAATTTAATTCGATGTTTCTATTAGACTTTTTGATTAAGGGAAGGAAATTTTTAACGTTTTGGGTAGGCATTATGGTGCAAGTGCCATACACAAAGTGAATTCACTCCATTTGTGGCGTGCCCCAGGGTAATCATTTGGTACAAGCTTATCTTCAACCCCTGACTGTAACATTAATCAGTGTGAGGGAAGAGGTGCAGAAATTGAGGGTGCTGAAGATAGTCGCGCAAATTCAAATGCGCCAAAATGCACCCCTGCATTTGAATTTGGTGTTTCTTTCAAATTTTGAGGTGACATTTCAAAATTTCGTGTGGGTAGCGACAAAATTAGCCATAATAATGATCGAAGACATCTTTAGTGCTGCACCAGCAAAACATGAACTAAATCAATTCCAGTTGTAGCGCCCTTGAGGGTATGCATTCTCCCTAGCTTAATATCACGTATTGAATCTTTATAATTTAAAGTTCCCATAAAATGTTTTATAAATTTAAAATAAAAGAATGCATTTTAGCAAATACTTCAATTTGGTTTTGCAAAATTCTACACTGGGAGAGCAACGGAAGAGATGCTGGTTAAAAAAAAAAATGTAGGTGTGACTTAACCTTAGAAACATTGTTTTAGGGGCTTAAAGATGTGATGGGGATATTTTCTTACTTATCATCTTTCAGTGCAAGGTGGGGGAGGATACAAGTGAACAGTGGCAAGGAGGCCTGGAAAAATCGAGCCAGACGGCTCACTTGGATCTGCTTGAGTCATGCAATTATTTTTGATATTAGGCTACTAAACGGTGGTGTGACTTTAATTTTTTATTTTAACCTTTTTCGGGGGGGGGGGGGGTTACCAAATTTTCAACAAAAAAAATTTGGATTTGATGGTTGAAAATATTTAGTTTCAGGGTTTAGGCGGGAAGTGGGGCGTACAAATGAATCATGTCCCCTGATGCCAAACACTCTAGTTCCGCCCCTTTCAGTGGGGTAGAAAAGGGGGGGGGGGGTTCACCCGAGTGTCATTTTCGGACAACTGCAGAGTTTGTATCTTAAAAGGGAGATGGGCAAAAATATTTGGCCGCCCATGGTGGCACTAATACTAGCTACGACACTATCTATCGTCACCAAACTAAGCGATCGTTTTCATCGGGGGGTCTAGGGTAGAAATCGAGGGCGCCGATGAATCTTGCTTTCATTTATATAAATAAAAGCAAGACAAAGATCATAACGGTATACTCAGACAACCAAGAGTATATCTCTCAGGTAGGAGATGCACTGGAAGAAGTGGAGGCCTTCACATACTTGGGCAGCACCATTGACTTAAATGGTGGATACGAAGCTGATATCAGGGCTAGAATTGGAAAGGTTGGGTCAGCATTTGTGCTTTTACAGAAAAGATGGGAGTCAAGGCACTGACTCTGTAAACCAAAGTCAAAATTTTCAACACAAATGTCGAAAAAGTCCTACTCTGCGGAGCCGCAACTTGAACAACAATAGCGAGCATTAGGTAGAAAGTACAGACCTTCAAAAACACTCGCCTTAGAAAGACCCTGAACATCAAAAGGCCAAACACCAACATAGACTTACTAGAAAGGACATACCATGAGCATATTGCTGAAGACATCATAAGGAAAAGATGGATAGGGCAATCTCCCCGCAAACCCCTAGATAACATCATTAGACAATCCCTAACATGAAATTAACAGAGAAAAGGAAAGAGAGGAAGCACGAAAAATACAGGGAGAAGCAATCTAGAGGCAGACACACAAAGTAGGGAATACACCTGGAAGCAAATGGAAATGAAAGCATTGGACCGAGATGAATAGAAAATTCTTCTTCTTCTTCTATATCTGAAGGGCCCACGATCAATTTATTGATCATTTTGGCTCCTATGCATGTAGATGGGATTTGCAATGTTTCTGTTACTGGTGGTGATGAGGAAATTATGCACTAGGGGTTTGAAGGCTTGAGGCAATAGACACAAATGTGTCTA